GCTTTTACTAATCCCCCGGTTAAATCCACTGCACAGTCATTTAGGCCTGCTGGGATTTAGCAGGCACTGTCTGTTAATACCGTGGAGATGGGTATTGTCTTTTTTGGGTTGTTTTCAAAGCAATAACCTGATGCAGCTTTCAGATGATGTGCCCCGTGTCTGAGAAAGAGCAGAGCTGTCAGGGGCGCTTGGGGAAAGGATTTCACCCCAGCCATGTCAGCACGGATGGGCAGCATTGGATCCATGCTGTTCACCACCCGTCCTGCCCTCCCTTCCCCCTGCGCTCCCAAATATACTCCCATGAATAAATCCAAAAGACTGGCTTTGCAGGGGCAAAGGTTTGGGGGATTCCCAAACCTTTCCCTCCTTGGAAACAAAGTTTGAGCAACTTCTCCGCTTCACTGGCCCAGTTGGGGTTTCCCATTTCAGCATCTCCGGGGCTGCCTTTTCCTTTTCCACGGCTGGTTTGTCCCTTACTGTACAGAGAATTGGGCATTGGGGCAAAAAGTCTGTTTCCTGCTGCTTCTAATTTCTGCTTCTTGATAAGAAACGGAAGCAAAACCCTTTGCGGGGTGGCTGGAGGGCCCAGCCTGGCCAGCAGCTAAGAATGACCTGGCAGTGGGGTCTGAAAACTCTGCAGGGTTGTTGGGCATTTAAAAAATAAACAAATAAAAGTGCTGGTCCAGCTCCCAGCTCTGCCCCGGGTCTGCCTGCGGGCTGGGGGCTGCCGGGTCTCCCCTTTGCTCTCATCCTCCAGCCCCTGCCCCGTATTACAGGAGCGCTGCTGCAACGGAGAGAGAAGGAAAGCCTTGGGGAGGGGGCTGTGGGATGCTCCCACCAAGCTTCTGGTCATCTGCTTTTGCCTCCCAAGGAGGCTGAGACCCCCGCGTGAAGCACCAGCACTCCCAGGGTCCCGGCAGGATGGCAGCACCAGGGAAAGAAGAGATGCAAGTAAATAACAGCAGGGCAGCATTTGCCCCTGCTTTTCCAAGCCCCATGCGGGACCCGCTGCAGACAGGAGTGTTTATAAGCAGCATCTTGAGAACATTCCTCCCTCCCGTGCAAGGCATTTCCTGGTGATAACACACTCCTAAGTAATGATCTCGCAGCATTATCCCTATTAAAGGGTCATTCGGGGAAAGTGTGATGGAAATTAGAAATTATTCAGGTCTGCCAACAGTATTTAACTTTCAAGCAGCTCTTAATTAGAAGCCAGGAGCCATTTATACAACCACTGATATTTGCATAAGAATCTGCATAGAAAACCCAGCAACTGCAAAGATTTAGTGATTTTTTTTCTTTTTTTTTTTTTCAAGTGGCAAAGCAGCGTGCCTGGGTCGGAGCGCGCGAGGCAGGACCCTGGGTTGCAGCCCAGGCTCTGCCAGCGATGTTAAGTGTGGCCTCAGGCGAGTGGTTTCCTCTCCCAATGCTCCGATTTTTCCATCTGTAAAATGGAAATCAGCACATGTCCAAACTTTCTAGGTGGCAGCTTGTGTTTGCAGAGGGGTCTGGCCTTGCCAGGTGAGAAAACTTGGAAAAGAAAGCAAAGGAATCCCTACACCTGCAGCCAGCCAGGAGCTGCTCCTGCAAATCGGGGTTACGGCAGAAAAACTCCTGTGTGCATCTAGGAGAAAAGCCAAAGTCTGAAAACAAGACTAAAATACCTCGAGGTTGCTCGATCCCTGCTCTCACGGCTGGTTTGGTGGGGGATTTGATGATGGGTTCCAGTTTCAGCTCCTCGCTCCTTTTTCCCTGGCTGGCACCGGGTGTCCAGGAGCCCAGAAACGCGGGTGCGAGGGTGGAAAGTCAGAGCTCGCAGCGGCAGATGCTCCTTGCTGAAAGCAATTGGTCAAAATCAGCCCAGAAACCCTAACGAGGGGTTTTTTTTATAATTATTTTGTTGCTGCGCCCTCTAACTGGCTTGTTCCCGGGATGCCAGCTGTAGTGGTATGGCTGGGAACACCCTCCTCGCTCTTTGCTTGCAGCTGGACAAGGGGGACGTGACCGCGCTCAGCCTGCCCTCCACCGCCGGGCACGGCGACGCCGACGGCACCGTCTGCCTGGACGTCCCCGATGGCACCCCTGACCCTCACAGGACAAAAGCCGCCATCGAGCACCTGCACCAGAAGATCCTCAAGATCACCGAGCAGATCAAGATTGAGCAGGAGGCTCGGGATGACAATGTGGCTGAGTACCTGAAGCTGGCCAACAACGCAGACAAGCAGCAAGCCTCCCGCATCAAGCAGGTTTTCGAGAAGAAGAACCAGAAGTCGGCACAGACCATCGCGCAGCTGCACAAGAAGCTGGAGCACTACCACAAGAAGCTGAAGGAGATCGAGCAGAACGGCCCTTCCCGGCAGCCCAAGGATGTCTTCCGGGACATGCACCAGGGTCTCAAGGACGTGGGCGCCAACGTTCGCTCCAGCATCAGCGGCTTCGGCGGCGGCGTGGTGGAGGGCGTCAAGGGAGGGCTCTCGGGTCTGTCCCAGGCCACCCACACCGCCGTGGTCTCCAAGCCCCGGGAGTTCGCCAGCCTCATCCGGAACAAGTTTGGGAGCGCAGACAACATCGCCCACCTGAAGGACACGCTGGACGACGGGCACCCGGAGGAGACTCTGGACAGCCACCACAATAACTTCGACACCATCCTGGAGGAGCTCCGGGAGATCAAGGACAGCCAGTCACATCTGGAAGACTCCATGGAGGACCTCAAGGCACAGCTGCAGCGGGATTACACCTACATGACACAGTGCTTGCAAGAGGAGCGGTACAGGTAGGGATGGGTGGGTGCCAGGGTGGCAGCATGGGTCACCCAGGGTGGCTCTTCAGGGACCATGAGGCTACCATCGTGGGCTTGTTCAGCAAAGCCCTGCATGCCAGGGGTGTGGGGAGCTGCAGCACTGCCCTCCTCGCTGCCAGACCCCCCGGCAGCACCGATTCCAGGGAGGATCATGAAACACTTTCCCTTCGGGAACCATAACCAGCTGCAGCCAGCAGCAGGGTGGGTTGGAGGGGACAGGCAGTTTCCCCAGCATCAGGGGAAGGAGGGCAGGGGGGTCCACGGGGGGACCTGCCCACCCCAGCGCCCCTCCACCCCTGTGCACAGGTACGAGCGTCTGGAGGAGCAGCTGAACGACCTCACCGAGCTTCACCAGAATGAAATGACCAACCTGAAGCAGGAGCTGGCCAGCATGGAGGAGAAGGTGGCCTACCAGTCCTACGAGAGGGCACGGGACATCCAGGTAGGGGAGTGTGAGGGCTCAGCCCCCCTCCACTGCACCCTCCATCCACGGGGTGAGGAGGGACCCTGGGCTGGGAAAGAGGGTGGGCAAGGGGGATCCCTTTTTCTAGCACACTCCAGATGAGGTCCTGACAGCGATGCTGTCACAGCAAGAAGCAGGTAACTAAGCCATGTCCCCAAAAATCCCTGTCTGTGCCCCAGTGAGTCCCCGCTGTGCTAAAGTCCCCGGGTGGGCAAGGCAGGGGAAGGCTCTAGCTGGCTGGCTGCAGTGCTGGGCCTTTACGAGCCACATGTGGGCCAACACATAGTCCCCACTGTCCCATTTTGGGTCATCTCCCGTGCTGCAGTAGGTACTCCCCGCATCGAGACCTTCCCCAGCCCAGGCAGAGCAGGACGGGCGTGCATTGCACATTGCGTGGGCCAAGGGTTTGCTGAGGTGGTCACTGTCACAAGGTCATGCACCCATGGGAGCTGTGCAAGAAACATTCCCAGCAGCAAGGTCTCAGAGCGTGGGGCAAGTACTAAAAGCCCTCATGGGGCATCCCCAGAGCTGCCACCAGCCCTGACGTGCTGTCCCTCGCAGGAGGCGGTGGAGTCCTGCCTGACACGGGTGACCAAGCTGGAGCTGCAGCAGCAGCAGCAGCAAGTGGTGCAGCTGGAAGGGGTGGAGAACGCCAACGCCCGGGCACTGCTGGGCAAGTTCATCAACGTCATCCTGGCCCTGATGGCCGTGCTGCTTGTCTTCGTCTCCACCATCGCCAACTTCATCACCCCGCTCATGAAGACCCGCATGCGCATCCTCAGCACCGCCCTGCTCGTCCTCTTTCTCTTCTTCCTCTGGAAGCACTGGGACTCCATCACCTACTTTCTGGAGCACGTCCTGCTCCCCAGCTGATCTGCAGCCCGGCCACAGCAGCCCCAGGGGCTTTCAATTTCCCGCAGAGGAGAGGGCCAGGGGGACGGTGGTCCAAAGCCTTTGGGTTGTTTCTTCACACGCTCGGTTTGGTTGCTTTCCCCGCCCGCCATCCTCGCTGCAGCCAGTGGCAATTGCTCGGAGCGTGGCGTGTCGGAGCCGGGATCCGTCAGTCCTCTGGGATGTTTGGGGAGGGTGGGATGGGGAATGAGGAGAAGTTTTTGGAAGAGACTGGTTATTTATGGGGTGCTGAGTTTTTCTAGGGTTTTGGGGTTGTTTTTTAAATGTCATTCTGTTCTGAAAGTCCATTGGAAGATGATCTTCTGCAAAGCTCTTCTGCCAGTGGGAAGGATTGAGCTGGACCAAATGCAGCTCCAGGAGAACTTTCTGCAGAGAGAGGAGAGGGGTTAGCTGGGGCTGGGTTTTCCCTTTCATCCTTGAAGACCAAGATGGTAAAAAGCTCAGTCCCATGATGGAGCGAAAGCAAAGCACGTGGAGAAGGAGAAAGCAGGTCCAAGGCAAATGCAGCAGGCCATGCACGTCCCACCAGCCTCTCCCAACCCCACCACAGCCTGGCCAGGGCAGAACAGGGCTGTGACATTGTCCCTGTGTCCCCACGGGGGCCTGGGCCAACACAGGGGACCCAATGCCGGAGATAGCACCGGCACAAGCAAGATCCCCTCCACTGGTTTCCCTTCATTTATTTATTTCCCCCCTCCTTCAGCTTTAGTTGATTCTGATCTCTTCAGGGACACCTGGACTTGCCAGCATCACGCCTCTGAGTTTTACAGCCTCTGCACCGTGTCGTGTGTGTGTGCGTGCGCGTGTGTGTGTGCGGTTTTTAATTTAATTCAAGAGTCTGTTTCCATTTGTGAATCAAAGCTGGTAGGGCGGGGGGAAGCGAGCAGCTGCCTTCCAGCCTCCCTGGCCCTACACAAGAGCACAGCATGCTGTCTCGGGTGTTTCTTAAATTATTTCATACATATATATTTATGTAATATATCTATACACACACACACATATATATATAAAAATATATATAAAAGTATATGCACAGTCAGATCCTCCTCTGGTGCAAATGGGTACCACTCCACCAACTTTGGAGGCCCTGAACCAGTTTGCCTCAGCTGAGAATTTGGCCCTTAACACTTTCTGTGGCACTTCCCAGCCCGATGCGCAGGGCTGGTGCAGGGCATGGGGTGCTCGGGAGGGCCGGGGGGTCCCACAGCAAGGGCAGAAGCAGTTCCAGTGTATGGAAGGGAAGGTGCGTGTCCTCTCCCACCTCCTCTGTGCTCCCGGGGCCAAGCCAAGCCCACCCATGGCCCCACATCGGGCTCCCTGCATCCCCTTGAGCATCATCTCTCACTGGCACAACTCCCAGTGCATCCCAGTAGCTGGGGCTTGGTGCAGGAGCTCTGCACAGGGCAGCGGGTGCCTGCAGGAGCCCTGTGCTCTGCCAAAGGAACCAGCAACACAAGGGACTAGGGGAAACTGGGCTGGAGACCCCAGCTTGTACCCTGGGGCCACAGCCAAGAGCTCCAAGTGGGAGCCCCAACCCCAGGGTGCTGGGTCTGATGCATCAGCAAGGAGAGAAGCGGTGGAAGAGACCAAGGACAGAGACAAGCCATGGCTTGTGGAGGGGGACCACAGCAAGAGGTGGCCCCACTGTGGTTGCGGAGACCTGGCAGCAGGGCCAGCAGGTACCAGATGCATCCCAGCCCGTACCAGATGCATCCCAGCCCATCGGTTTGTACCGTTAAACCACGCACGCTGCAAGCGAGCTCAGCAAGGGGGAGCAGGGGGGCAGCCAGGCGATAAGCCTGCACTATTTCTGAAGCACAGCAGCAGGTTGGGTTTCAGCTACTTTGACCTGGAAAGACGGCAAATGGATCTGAACTGGCTGCTGAGCCAGCATGGGTGGGGAGAAGCAAGGCAGCAGGTGGTGGGGCTTTGAGGGGGCCTGGCAGTACCCCTGGCTGGAGATGGATTGAGGGCACACGGATGAACCCTGCTCCCAGGCATCCCCTGTACTTACTGGAAAGCACATCAAGGAGGTGACACAGGTTTGAGGTCAGAGACAAGGCAGCCGAATCCCCGTGTGCAGGACAGTGCAGGAGCAGGGGCTGTGCCCAGGTGGGACAGGCAGGCAGGGACAGTCCAGACCTTGGCAGAGGCTCCCTGAAGCCTGGCCCATCGCTGCAGGTGGCACCCAGGGCACATCCTCTCTGGAGCGAACGGTCACATCCCCATGAACTTCATTTGAGCAAGGCAGGCTTGCCCAGAGCTGCACTGATTTCGGGGCAGAGGGCTGGGGAACCTGCCCCGTCCTGGGGAACCTGCCCCATCCTGGGGAACCTGCCCCATCCTGGGGCTCAGCAGCGCTACCTGCA